GAACACTGACCCAGAAGTTCTGAAATTGTCGTATTTCTTAAATACTTAGAAAAATTTCTAAGTTTTTAGAATTTGATTCTTCCAAAATAAAATTTGACTTTTGAACTCTTGATGAAGCAAACTTCATATTCCAACATGTCTTGATGAAATATGATTTTTGATTCAAAAGTCAAAGTTAGACTTCTCAGTGTGCAAATGACCATTTTACCCTTGTGAATGGTTTGCTTGAAAAATTGATAATTCAAGGCTTGGAATTGGATGAGAGAAAATTTGAGGATCCAGGGTGATTCCTTGAGAAATGAGAGGGCTAATTTTAGGGTACAACAACGTGTTTTGCAATATTTCTGTGTTGGTATTTTTTATTGACAATTTCTTAATTCACCCTTATGTCTTCTAAGACGCCCTTGGAGATATTCCTGTAATACCCCCTGAATTCAAATATGCATATCCAAACTCACATTTATTTTTCACAAAATACTTAATTTCGGAGATGCATATCCAAAAAATATCCTATTTATTTATTTACAAAAAATGTATTTTCGAATATGCATATCTGAATAAACATTATTTTTTTACGAAAAGAGGTGTTTTCAGATATGCATGTCCGGAAAGTTCTCTGTTGTGTTTTTTAAAACAAAAAAAGAAGAAGATGTATATCCGACATAACAAACTAGTATGACATTGAGTCTAAAAGCACAAATTTTGGAGAAACCAATGAGTTTACTAATTAGCTTTATTTTATTGAAAAAAAATAAAAAGAACACGTTAGAAATTCTTGAGTTCAGTACTCCTTATTTCTCTCATCACCAATTGATTAAAAAAATTTTGAAAACAAAAAAGGAAATTAAATGGAGAGATCCAAATATCTCTCTCATCATAAACGTTACTGTTTGAAAAGATCCACCATTAAATCAAATACTAATTACCAATATTCCCCTTTTAATTACTAAGAAAAACACAAAAATTTTCGGATATGTATATCCAAAAATCCATGTTTTCGTAAAAAAAATAAGGTTTATTCAGAGTTGTATATTCGAAAATACTCTTTTGTACAAAAATAAGGTGTATTCGGATATGCATATCCGAAGAAAATTTTTAGATTTTCAAAGGTTTACTTCACCCCTATAAGGGTGTACTAAGAATTTCTCTTTTTAATTTGTTTGTTAAATGTGTAGAATACTAAAAATTGCAATGGAGGTAGCAAGTAGCCAAGAGAAAGTGAGAGAAAGCAAAAATAATTGTGCAAAAAGGAGAGTTTTCCCCTTAAAAAATATGGGCACGCAGGCGTGCCAGCCTCTAATGCGGACGCGTTGAAGGATTTGACCGATGGGAATTTTGAACGTTGGATTTTGACCATTAGTTTTATGAACGTTGGCCCTGCCATTGAAAAACGCAGACACGTTGAATCTCAATATGGGCGCATTAGGCGCGAGGCGGGCCTATAAAAGTGGCTTTTCAACCATTTTTTTTCCATCCCAAACACACCAACTCTCTTCTTCTCACTAATTTTTCTCTATATTTCTTGCAATCTTTTGTGTTTTCAATCCTTTTTCAGAAATTATTGTTGGAACAGGTTTTAGTTCGTCAACTAATCCTTGAAGTTTTGATTTTAAGAAGTATTTTTGTATGAAGAACAATTTTATATTCTAACGGTTTGTTTAAGTGTGCAAATGTTACTCATAGATTCTAGATTCTTAGTATGCAATTTATGGACTATGGACAAGTGTAGTTCTAGATTATGAACTAAGCAACTATGGACTTTGGGCTATCCCAACACACTATGAGTCGTTGAAGAAATAAGTGTCTACAATGACAAATCTGCTTCTACAAAGTATCAAGTCATCTCCTGAATGAAGTTTATTCATATCGAGTTTGATAACTCAAGAATCTGAAGACTTGACATTTTTCAAAGTACCGAAGACTTCTCTAATCAAGCTCTATCTCAAATCTATCAGAAGCCTGTGATTCAAGCGATTTGCGGTGAAGAAAGTTAGTAACTCTGGACTCAAAACAAGCTTCATCTCAATTCTATTAGAAGCTTATGTCTGAAAGAGATTACTACAAAGGAAGTTAATATGAAAATATTAAAATAAGTTCAAATCATCATCATTTTCACTACTTTGAAAAAGAGTATAAAAGGCGTGTCACTACCACTTTTTACAAAACGTCACATCCTCGCTTTCCGGGATGCTGCCACCGCCACTAAATCGAACTACTATGTGAATCAATCTGCTTCGACACATACAATTCGACACACATTTAGCTAATTTCAACACAACCTTGTGTCTGTCAAACAACATGTTGTTTCGACACAAGAAATTACAACACAACAATTTTTTAATAATATCATTATTTATTAAAAAAAAAGCAATTGTTAAATATAAAATTATCAAAAGAGAACTATTTTCTAGCATTGTAGAAGGATTTTCTTATAGGGATATTCTTTTTAGCTAAAAATTTATATAAATATGTTATTCTTTTTTATTATATAAAACTATAACAATTAACAAAAAAAAGTCTTTTTAGAAGTTATATTACTATTATTATTACGAAAAGAATTTTATAAAAATAAATAATTTTTTAAATATTAAGATGAGGCTATTAATGGAAAAATTAAAGACTTTATATTAAAGTAATTGGAAATTAAAATAATAGGATTTAAAAAGATAAGAATTTAAGTGATTAGATAAAAATTTAGAAATAAAAATTAAAAAATGAGAAGTGTTTTTAACATGACACGTAAGTAAAATGTAGTTTGTTTTTTAAATCTTTGTTTTCTATTATTTTTTTAAAATATTTTAAAACCAAAAGATAAAATATCTTTGTAGGGAAATTTACAATATATATTTTTTTAATATTTAAAAATCATATGATTTTATTTTTATGAGTTTTTATTTTATTATTTTGTAAATAAAATTTAAATTAATTATAAAAATTTACCAACTAATAAAATTTTATTATTAAAAAATTATCACATAATGTTGATCTTTTTTAATATTTAGAAATCTTTTTTTCATCTTTATGAGTTTTATTTTAAGAGATTTTTCCAATAATAATTATCAATATCATATGATCAATTTTATATAGAATAAATTAAAAATGAAAAAGTTTGATAAGATGTCCAAAGTGTAAAGAAATTAAGATGTCATCCTCTTTTATACATAACATCTTAAAGGGTATAAAAAAATTAAATTGTTTAAACCTGAGAAATATTCAAAAATTTTAAATTTGCAATATCACACCGGATTTTTGAAATTCATTAGGCAATACCAAAAATTTCGTGAAATAATAAGAAATTTATGGTAGATTTATGTAATTTTTGATATTTTCTATTGGAAATTTCAAAATATTTGATTATTTTAATAATTTTTTTTTGAAGTTTTTGGGTTTAATATTTACCTTTTGTACAAGAAATTTTGAAATTTTCATAGCTTTGTAGCATGTACCGTAAATTTTAAAATTTTTCGGTAATTCAATTTTTTTTGAAAAATACCGGAAATTTCAAAATTTCCGGTAGTTCATATTTTCTTAATTTCCCCTCCTTTTATTAAATGTTTCAGTGAAGATCAAGGGCAAAGATAGTTCTGTTGCGGGCAAGGTGGCCGATCAAGCGAAAGATCAGGTCTGGGATGACGAGGCACAGGCTTCCGAACTACGGACTGGACGACATGATATGACCGGTTCTCACCGAAAATGTTTGGCTGAGCAACAGACTCAGTTCAACACACCCCGTTGTCGAGGACCTAGAGATGTCGACGCTATGTTTCATATCTGATCGCTGTTACATTCTTCACACCTCCTCATATTAACCATGCAACGGTGGTGCACATGGTTGTGGATGATTTGGAGGTATCTGAGGCGATGGTTATGGCAAAATTTGGCGTTAACAAGGGATATTACCTTTAGATGTCTTGGCTTAAGGAGAGGTACGAAGAGCATGTGGAGGCCCAAAGGTATCAAGCTGCCGCAAGGGCGTACATGCTATATCTGGTGGCATGTACTCTCTTTGCAGACAAGTATGAAGTTTACACGATGTTCACCATCTGTCTCTGTTCAACACCTTTGACACTCCTTGTTGGGTTTGGAGAGTCACAACCTTGACCATGTTGTACACGACACTTGACCTCCGTATCTTCATTGGTCTTCAACTTAATCAACTTGTATTTTACCCAACCATTTAAATTAATATAATGGTCCCGGAACTCGATCTCTGTCACCCTTCTGTTATCAGTATCAGGCATCAATGAATTCAACGTTTCTTTTAAGATGACAAGGAATGTGCTGCCATCTGGAAGCTTGAATTCAACAATAGGGTTGCTTCTGTTGTAGTATACTCCTGCCTTAATCAGAAATTGAAGAAGAAATATTTTTTGAGATATTTTTCTCTATAGCATATGCCCATATTTATACAAACGACGATGCATTCTAGACCATACAAAATTATCAGTGTAATCAGAACCCTTCAAAGATGTCGGCAAAATCTCTACCGTTAAAAAAACTTGAATAAATGAATTACCCGTAATACTTAGTAAATTTAAAATTTTCGAAATATCGAAAATTTTAAACATACTACTGAGAATTTACATTAACCAAAAATTTTATAGTTGTATCAAAAATTTTAAACCTTATACCAAAAATTTAGTCCGATAATTATTTGCATCTCAAAAATGATTCTAAAATAATTAAAATTAAAAGAGTGCCTTATTTAATTTAAGGGTGCCATGTTAGTGTAGTAAGTGATAATATAAATTATATTCTGATTAAAAGTGTGGAATTTAAGGATTATTTTTTAAATGTATGGTAATATAGAGAATAAAATTTAAAAACGGGCTCACTTAAATAAAAAAGTAGAAACAAACACAAATCTGGCGGCAAAAGGTGAGCTTCCGCTATCAAGCTTCGACTTGGCCGGCCTTACCTTACATACTATTGTCTTCTTGCGATCAAACTGAAATGAATCCTTTCTACTTCTACTTCTCCTACCAATCCCACAATCTATCATGGAGTCACAATTTCTCTCAATTTCTCTCATCTTCATCTTCTTACTCCTCATTTCCTCCTCAAAACCAGCCCCATCTTCCACCATCGGCATTGATGCCATCTCCCGCATTCTTCAAATCCAAGACCGAGAAAGAGCTCCTCCGCCCGTCCAGGAAGCTGCTGCCCGCTCCGTCCTCCTCCGCTTCCTGCCTTCCCATTCCTCTTCCTTCCACTTCCGCATCCTCTCCAAGGTATTTCAATTTCCTCTTTCTTGCTTTGACCTAATTCTACTTAATTTCAGTTTTTTTGACTAATTGTTTTGGCATTAACAGAAGCAATGCGGAGGTGAATATTGTTTCACTATCAATAATCATCCTTCTTCTGCAACACCAGGGAGTCCTCAAATTCGGTATGTTTCCTTTGAATTTCTTCACAAACTGAGATTGTGTTTATGTGAGCAACAACTTGATTGATTCAGTTTTTACTCTCCTTAGATCCTAGGGTTAAGATGAGGGATAGCTTTATTCTGATTTGGCATGCTGTAGTTTGGACTATTCAGTCTGCTTGTAACGATAAGCTTTTCACCTGGAGGATAAATGTACTTTTTTGGCTTGGAGCTGGTTTCATCATAAATCTTAGTTGAACTCTTTATCCTTCAACGATTGACTTCAAAACTCTATCATGTGTCTGACTCAATAGCGGACCAAGACCCCTGGTCTGGCTCCCAGGTTTTATGTGGTTGTCGCTGCTTCCTGAGGACCTGGTTTGTGCTTTCGGTGGCTATGCTGTCTGAGTTCTAGCTTGGTTCTATTTGGTTGGTGTTTCGCTGTGGGGTTGGTGTGGAGTTTTCCTCTTTGTTTTTTCTTTGTGCTTGCTGTTTCGGTTGTGGATTCTTATGGTGTACTTTTGTCTGTTTTATGTTCAGTGTTGATTTTTTTTGTAGACTTCTGTTTTGGCACTTCTTGTGCGGTTGTGCCTGTGTTTCCTTGTATTTTTCTGTGGGCTTTAGCTTTTTTTATTAATATATTAGTGAGCAGCAAGCTATAGGCTAAACAAACTGGTGATGATTTCCATTTAATTCTCCACAGAATTGAAGGAACATCAGGAGTGGACATTGTTGCGGGTTTGCATTGGTATTTGAAGAATTGGTGTGGTTCACATATATCTTGGGACAAAACTGGTGGCCCCCAACTATTTTCAGTGCCCAATGTGGGGTTTCTGCCACGTGTCCACGATGCCGGAATCTCGGTTCAGAGGCCTGTTCCATGGAGCTATTACCAGAATGCTGTTACTTCTAGCTGTAAGCTACTTCTTGTTTTCACATCATATGTCTTTGCCACCGTGTATGGAATTGGCATCTAAAGATTTTATTTCATTTTCATGTGATCTTGTTATCTTTTTTTGGAAGATTCTTTTGCTTGGTGGGACTGGAAAAGATGGGAAAAGGAAATAGACTGGATGGCTCTGCAAGGTGTCAACTTGCCCCTTGCATTTACGGGGCAGGAGGCTATCTGGCAGAAAGTTTTCAAAGTCAGTCATTCTCATACCAATTTGTCTTTACATAAATCTTGGCATGGGCTTGGCATTGTAACTTATTTGTCACTCATGAAAGCATTCTGAAGATGGTTTTTGAACCCACACATTACGCACCATTAAACTAAATTTGGTGAATTATTTTATAAAATTCTTAATATAAGCTTTACCTCACCATGAAACTATTAGTTTTGTTTCTAATTTCCATAAAGCAGTGGCATCAAAAATAGATTATAACTCACATGGCATTTGATATGTGAACAAAATTGAGGGGAACTGCATTTTTTGTTATATTTCAGTCTCATCAGTTCCATTCGCTTAGATATAATTAAATTCGTAATTTCAAGTTTTCCACCTCAGATGTTAAGAAGTGTCCCACAGCATAAATTGTGGGAGCTGTTCAATAATGATTTTACATTTCTAAAATAGTTTTCCAAAAACAACTTCATATGGCCAGTTCTTTCCATCAATTTAAGTAACTTTTAATTAGATATTTAGAGGTATTCTTTTCAGATGTCATCCAATTTTATGATAGGTTTAGTGTTTTATGATACTGCCATCACAACATACTTACAACAGCATACTAAGCTGCGCTCAGCGTTCATGTATTTGAATATAGTTTTTACGAGTTTTATTACAACCTTATGCACGAAGGGAGCATTATCTGGCAGTCTTGAAAGATATATAAATGTCTAGGTGCAGTTAGAGTGGGACCTAGTTCTCCTGTACACTTTTTATGTTGTGCAATTCTTAGCATTGTCTGCTTGGATGTTTTGGTTTTATTGACCTTTAAATGATTTGACATCATCATATCAGTAGGTCAATAATCCTGGATACTGTCTAACAAAATTTGCTCCACGGTATTTCTTAGATAACCAACCTTATAATCAATCTGCAGGAGAAGTTTAACATGAGCATTTCTAATTTGGATGATTTCTTTGGAGGCCCAGCATTTCTCGCATGGTCACGTATGGGAAACTTACATGGGTGAGTGGTAGAATTCATGGGCTTCTTGTTTGATATTAATAGATATGTTTTAGCTCAAGGCTGACATAAAATTTATATCTTGAAGTAATTTGTGGAAACTAGAACAATTTATGTATAATTGCTCCAGTTTCATTATGAAATTGTCAAGTTTGATTCTTTTAGTAAACACTCTTTCTCTGTCGCAAGAGTTTCATTGTCATTGTACCTGGATCAAGCAGCCATAGTTTGAGAGAATGAGCAATCATATTTTAATGATATTTTAATTCCAGGTGGGGCGGACCACTTCCACAGAGCTGGTTTGATCAGCAATTAATTTTACAGAAGAAAATTCTTGCGAGAATGTATGAGCTCGGGATGACTCCTGGTACTCATTAGTCATTATTACTATCATTGACTCTTCTACCAGACAATGATAAATTAGTGGTTGAACCTTATGCATACTATAACATGACCAAAAAGAAAAAATAAATATTTTTCATTTGGTTTCAGTTCACCTTCGATTTGTTTTCTGGAGGTTATTTTAATACCGAATAATTGCTTTTCAGTCCTGCCAGCTTTTTCTGGAAATGTCCCTGCTGCTCTGAAATATATATTTCCATCAGCAAAAATAACACGCTTGGGAAATTGGTAAGTACAATGTTGTACCCGTTGGCTTGAACTTGGTGTAATTAGTCTTACTGAACAACCACACTGGTTCAAGGGAGTGTTTAATTAAGTGCTTATTGAATAACTGTTTATTATATAAGTATTATGTATAAACTAATTTTATAATCAAATAGAAACTAGCTTAAACAATTTTCATATAAGTTGTAAGCTATTTAGAGATGACATCCTAGCAAAGAAATATGAAAAATCAATTATTGAAGTGGCTTGGAGAGGTAAGTTGGGGAACAGATTCTCTCCCATGAAAAGTCACTTCAGTGAAATCTAGGCCATTCAATTTTTGTACAATGTATTAATTAAATTATAAAATTGAAAATTGAATGATTGAGATTGACACTGGACATGCTCCATCCAGTGAAAACTTCACGGGAGAGGAACCAGGCCCAGTAAGTTGCATGTTTAGCACCTGTACACTCTTCACTACCCTACAAAAAAGTAAAAGCGCTATCTTACTCATCGAAATCCTAGCACCTGTACAGTCTTCCCCAACTTAAAAAATAGGCATGTTTAGCTGTCATTGATTTTACTTTTCTGAATATTGAAGACATCATGCCTGTATATATAGCTAAAACGGATAGGTTTGTACTTGTAGATATTTAACTGCGATCAATCATGGAAGTGCTAAATCCCATTGCCCACCAATTTTGCTTTTCTGCATATTATTGACACACTGTGTTTGTATAGATAAACCTAGTTAATGGATAGAGAAGCACTCATGTGGAATTGAACTTCACCAACCTATGTAGACAAAACTGAAAGAAAACAGAGAAGCAATCTAAATATAGGGCACACATTCACATGATGTGTGGAACTTAATATAGAACAATAAACATAGAACTATCATAATAATGCCTGAAGTTATAACATGATGCAATAGCCTTGGAACCAGTGAGAAAGCCATTAATAATGACCTCATTTCTCTAATTGTATTAATTTTCCTGTTGCTTTTACATCCATATCCACACGCACAAACTTTATCGACCATTTTTTCATAGGTTTTCTGTTAAGAGTGACCCCAAATGGACCTGCACTTATCTTCTTGATGCAACTGATCCCTTGTTTGTTGAGATCGGTAAAGCATTTGTTGAACAACAACTGCAAGGTGATATACAAACTTCATTCTAAGTTAATTGGCTATAATGCGTGACATTGTAAAATGATACACAACAATTCTGAAATATATATCCTGATATCAGTTAATATTTTGTGATATTTGATTACCTTTTCATCCAGAGTATGGAAGATCCAGCCACATATACAACTGGTAAGTTTTTATTTGTTCATCAATTAATTATAGATCTTAAATTTTCATTACTCCAGTGTTTGTGGAAATTTATGTAATTTGGTTTACGGAATACTTTTTCAACATTTTTTCTTTTATGCAATATATTGCATACTCGTGAGCTCCTTCCAAGCATACTTTGATATTCTCTAGTTCTATGTAAGCTCCTCAGAAAATATCTATGATGTGACTGTCACATCTTTCCTGCAAAGGATTTTCACGTTCTTTCTGTTCATCCATTAGACACATACCTTTTGCAAGTAAAACTCTCGATGGTTCATTCTTATCTTTTTTGAAGATATTATTATGTTTTCAATATTAAGTTAAGTTTTTTTTTTTTTGCCCAACTTTAATAAAACCAATAGTTATCTATTGGTTTTATTAAAGACAACCATGACCAATGCATTGAAATATATGTAAATTTTTATTTTTATCATTAGAAAATAGATGTTTTTGATAGATCTCCAAATCATTTGAACTATGGTTTATATGTATATGCACAATCACATTTTTCATGAAGAACTTGTCCTTTCATTAACTAACATATAGTATGATGGATCAATCACAGCGATACCTTTGATGAGAACACCCCACCCGTTGATGATCCAGCGTACATTTCTTCATTAGGTGCAGCAATCTTTAAGGGAATGCAGAGTGGTGATAATGATGCTGTTTGGTTGATGCAGGTGACATAAATTAGTTATTTATCTTTTTCATTTTAATCTTGATTTGATGCATCTAAGTTCTTTTGTATATAACGAAGCTAACATATTTATCCAAGTAGATTTATGCACCTCTAAACTCTAATGGTTCTATTTTTGTTTATGCAGGGATGGCTATTTTCATATGATCCGTTCTGGAGACCTCCTCAAATGAAGGTTTTTATTTATACTTGTTTGCCTTCCAAGATCCAACTTCATTGCTTGTTTTGTCTGCAACTCTTACTATAAAACAAATATTGTCTAAGATCTGGCTACCTAAACCATTTTTGCGGTTTTGCTTACAATGATTTCTATTTTATATTTATTTTTATTGCTTTTACCATTAACATTTGATTGTTTCTAGAATATCTATCATGCATGACTGTAAGTAGCAATCTTTACAACAGTTTTCTTTTTCTGTTTCCCTTCTTTGAGTGCCTTTGTAAAATAAATGGGTAGAATAATGTAGATACAAATTTGAAGAAATGGATTCTCTATTCAATATAAATCCTTTCTAGAATTAGGAGTTCATCCTGGTTATTTATTCTAACTTAATTACCTTTCATATATGATTTTTGTGTGCACTTGTTTTCAGGCGCTTTTGTATTCTGTTCCTGTGGGAAATCTGGTGGTTCTTGACCTGTTTGCTGAAGTTAAACCCATATGGACTACCTCAGAGCAGTTTTATGGTGTTCCTTACATCTGGAAAGTCATTTTCCATTATATATTTTTTAATAAAAATAGGGTAAATTATGTTCCCTTTTGTGAGAGAAGTTTGGATTACACTCTCCTCTTCTCTTATGTTAAAATCTACACCTTCATTCATTGGCAAGTAAGCATATATTACACTTTATTTCATTTTAATGTAAACAAACCTTTTAATGAGAAGATAAAGTGAAGCTTTAAATACCTTGTTTATTGGTTTTTGAACTTTATTTACTTATCAAGGATGAAAATGATATGTTTTAACACGAGAGAGGAGGCGTGGTTCAAGCTTTTACAGAGAAGAGGAATGTAATTTTCTCCGAAACAATAATGGTCATAAATTTTTTTCCTCTAAAACAAGATATATATCCACTTAAATGTGAAGATTTATACAGTGAATATTTGCACAATTTATGACTTTGAAAAGATATTTGCACAGCATATTTATTCTCTATGAAAATTTATAACTTCTCGCTTTTCTCTCTATAGGTGAATATTTGCACAATTTTACGTTACTTGGCTGTCTTTACACTTGCCTCCACTATACTGACATGCATACTTGGTATAAATATGTGAATATATTTTCCAGTGCCTCCTAGTCCTATAGTTAAACATATCAGCATGGACCAACATTCAGCAGCTTAAACCAGTGGTTATAGAGATAGCTTCTGTGTATAACTATAGCATAGCAATGTTGTTATATGGAAATATAGTAACTAGCACACGTGGACTTTCCTACAAACTGTCTGGTATTTATGGCTGTGGTCTAACTTAATTATGTCCATATCTGTATATTAAGATTTAGAACTTTGAAGTTCGTTATATTATATGTATAGGTTTTCCAAGTCTCTGTTGTGTGCATCATTATTCCTTTTTATTGTATTTTTTAATGTCTTTAAATTGACTGTGTGTTGTGCTTGACAGGTGTATGCTGCACAATTTTGCAGGAAATTTTGAGATGTATGGGATATTAGATGCAGTAGCATCTGGTCCAATTGAAGCACGAACAAGTGTTAACTCAACAATGGCAAGTTATTCAATTTTATTGGTTACTCAATTCTGTATTTAGTGTCACTGTTGAATTACAGTTATAATAAAAACCATGAAATCCATCTGCTCTATAAATATTATGATTGTCAGGAGTATTAAAAACTAAACCAAATTTACTAAAGCTACTATAAATGCAAAACATATTACTATTATTTAGACAAGTAATTTTGGTAAAAGCTTTTCTTCAACTTTTTTTGTGATGAATTCTTTTTCTGACATTCTATAACTTGTTAAAATCATAGAAGCCATACTTATACGTGCTTTTATGAAAGGTTGGAGTTGGAATGTCGATGGAAGGTATCGAACAAAATCCAATTGTTTATGATCTGATGTCTGAAATGGCATTTCAGCACAAGAAAATTGATGTTAAGGTAACAATAATCTTAGTACCAATTGGTTGCACTATTTCTCTCAAGGTTTTACCATGTTCTCATGCTAGTGGGATCTCCCGTGAGGCATTGTGACCTATGGAACCCCTCACAATGTGGATGCCCAGTACTTTGAATATAGAGATGTACTCATATTGTTTCCCACATATGGTTTAGGGGATACTTTCTACTCCCTCTGTTCCTTTTTAAGTGTTTCCTTTAGAAACAGATTTGTTTCTTTTAAGTGTGTCATTTCAAAGTTCAAGATAGTATTGGTTGTAGTTTTGTCAAAATTATCCCTAATCATTATTACAGAGAGAAAAAAGTTAAATAAACTAAAAAATTAAGGGTATTATAGGAAAAAAATCATTGTTTAAAAAGTAACAACAATCATTAGTAATCATTAGTTGTCTTGATATGTGTAAAAAGTAAAAAAAATGACAATTAAAAAGAAAGGGAGGGAGTATCATATGAAATAAGTTATTCACCTCTAATTTGTAATTTAGACATCGGATATAATTCCAACATACTTCCCTTAGTCCATGCTTTATTTTATTTTTATCTTCACTAAATTGGTATTGCTTTCAGACTGAAATGCATTATGGTTGTTCTTATTTCAGGCTTGGGTTGATTTGTATTCAACTAGACGATATGGGAGACAAGTTCCTTTGGTACAAGAGGGATGGAATGTCTTGTATCATTCTATTTACAATTGCACGGATGGAGCCTATGTAAGTAGTTGGTTGTTACTTATAACCTGGTGCTAGTAATTTCTTTCACTCCTGCAATATAAGACCATTTATTTTATGTAATTATATGTTAAACTTCCATTCTTCCTTTTATGATGTGTTGTATTTATGTATGCGAAGCATACTAAATTATTTGTGTATTTCATTTCTCCTTACTCAACAATGTAAAAATACTAATCGCATCACATCGGCTTATTTCTCAATCTTTTGTTCACCTTTAATCTGACAAATGACTTCTCTAAACAAGTGATAACGTCAGCTGCATATCGTATGTTCCATTTCAACTGCACATGCATAAATTAGAAGATCATGTTTCACTTTTACCAGATATTTTTGGTGTATTGGAACAGGACAAAAACAGAGATGTTATTGTAGCATTCCCAGATGTCGACCCTTCCTTACTTTCATTACATAATGAACACTCTCGTCCCTATACCAAGCCAAACTCAAGAACAATTATCCAGGAAGTAACTGATTCCTTTGATAGACCTCACTTATGGTATTCAACATCTGAAGTAATTTATGCATTGGAGCTTTTTATATCTAGTGGAGATGAACTTTCAAAAAGTAGTACTTATAGGTGAGAGAAGCCGGTGATATAAGAATTCTCACTCTTCTTTAAGTAGCCCGGTGTTGTCCTTTTGCATGCTAAGGTTCAATATAGAATCATGCTACTTATTCTTTACACAGGTATGACCTAGTTGATCTCACCAGACAAGTTTTAGCAAAATACGCAAATCAGCTGTTCTATAAGGTCATTGAGGCATACCAATCACAAAATCTTCATGGAGTGACCCTACTCAGCCAAAGATTTCTGGACTTGGTGGAAGATTTGGACTCATTGTTGGCTTGCCATGATGGGTTTCTTCTAGGCCCCTGGTTAGATAGTGCAATACAATTAGCTCAAAATGAAGAGCAGAAGAGACAGGTTTATTTTACTTCTATTGGCATATAATTGAAAATCCATCTTATCCTATATATATATATATACTTGTATTGATTTACAGTTCCAAACCTTTTCAGTTTGAGTGGAATGCTAGAACACAAATCACCATGTGGTTTGACAACACAGATGAGGAAGCCAGTCTGCTTCGTGACTATGGTATTAAACAACACTTAACAGAAAAAAAGAAGAAAAACAGTGTGATATTTAGCCGTACTAACTTGATTGCATGCCGTTTTTACTATTTTCCACAGGAAACAAGTACTGGAGTGGGGTTCTGCATGATTATTATGGCCCCAGAGCTGCTATTTATTTCAAATATTTAATCGAAAGCTTAGAGAAAGACGAGCATTTCAAGCTAAAGGAATGGAGAAGAGAGTGGATAAAACTTACGAATGATTGGCAAAGCCGTAGAAATATATTTCCAGTCGTAAGTAGAGGAGATGCTTTAAACACTTCTCGGTGGCTCTTCAACAAATACCTCAACCTTACCAATCCTGAGACACTGGAGAGCTGGACTGAACACCACTAATCAGTGAAATTTTAATGAACTGTTCTGTTAAATGTATATGAAACCAAAACCATATTGTTAAGGTGGAAAAGGAAATCATAGTTTCCCGGTTGGTGCAAAATATGTATAATAAAAATAACCTTTTTGGAGACAACTTTTTGCTTATTGATAAAAGAATAACCGAATAAGAATGGTTCTGGTGTGAACAAAACCAAAACCTAGAGACCAGAGTTATGGTGTGAACAAAACAGTTGGCGAATCACACTAATGGCCACAAAAAATTTGGACCTGGAATTGCTTTTGGTAGAATTATTCACTCGAAAAAAGGATGGTTCTATTATTGACTTTTCTTCTCTTTTTTTTAATACTATAATGGAAACCACCCAGATGGGACGTGGAGTCATCGAAGAACAAGTGTAAAGCCGCCAAAGCATAAAAATGAGCCTACCAATTCTAGACTTGGATTATAACGTAAGTGCAAACGTGTATGTTTCATTATCTCTGTTGGTCCAAGTTCAAGATTTTCATAAGAAAAAAAAAAGATTATCTTAGTCAAACAAACGTGTTCTAGAAGGTTCCCAAATGAGAAAACGAGTTATCTTGCTGTTGATTCCTTCATCAAGTGTCAAAATCCACGTCATAACATAACTTAACCAATGGCATAAAGATTTTGGTGAATTGCTTAACTTGGTTTGCTCTCTAGTCCTATAAAATGCATTGAACGAGTTCTCACTTCTTCATCCTCAAACACCCATATCATTATCCTGAAGTCCTCAATTGTTTCCTATTTTCTTTCAGCCTTCTCTCTGTTTAGCAAACTAATTGAATTAAAGAAATGGGATCTCATGGAACATCATGGGCTGACCAATGGGGCGATGGTCCTGACCCTTTGAATGGTTCCAACCAATCAAAAAAGAAGAGCAACAACATACTAGGCAAGACCAAGACAGTGGCGTCCACTGGTGTCAAGAAGTTGAAGGAGGGTACCTCTGTTGGCCTCCAATGGATCAAGACCAAATATAACAAAACCACCAACAAACATTAAATATTACTTGTTGTTTCTCTCCCATTCCTTGTACATGTTAGTAATATTTAGTCCTTTGTTTGACTACTATATCTCTTAATTTGGTGTTTCGATTCATTTATTCTTGATGTGTAAGATGATGTAGCCCGGTTCTCTGTAGGAGATATGCTTGTATCTTTCGTTCTATTTTTTTAGGATTGTTGTATTGTATACTTACATGATGCTTGATTTTTTATATTCTGCCGCTGTTTTTACTCTTGGAGTTGGTGTTCTTATTTATTTATAGACCACAATTCTTACCACTTGATAAGGAGAAACAACCCTTTCATAAACAATCATATTCTTAATGTAAGTAATAAGCATTCCGTTACACAATCAACTTTTATTTATTCTTTTTCAAATTTTCATAATCTTGAAACGATACAAAAATTTCTCAATTGAAAGAATTGAATTATTCCCATATTAAATAGAAAAGAGAATATCAAACACTTTAAAAATGAGAAAAGACATAGATCTAATGCCTTGAGATTTTGGATTAATATTTAATTTTAAAAATTTATTTTATGTGATAAAATTTTATTGGTATATATTATTTGAAGGTAAATTATCCCAACTTTATAGGGATAACCAATAATTTATATTATTATTATTTTATTTTTTTTAATGAAAAATGACTTTCATTAAGCATAAGCAACAACCGAAGCAAAATCAAGGCTACAGATTGGAGGGCTTTCTAGCCAAGTCTTATACCCATATAGCTTGCCTAAACTAATAAAATTGTGGGCATCCGCATGACAATCCATTTAAGTATATATTTTCTCTGTTTTAAAATGACTGTCATTTTAATAAATAAATTTTGTTTTAAAATAACTGTTATTTTCACTTTTTAATATAGTAGTGATTATTATTTTTCTAATTGCGCATTTTATTTTTTACTCTCTACACTACTTCCCATACATTAATAGGGTTAATTTTATAAAAGTATAATGTTTTATGACAACATCATTACATTCCTAAATTTGTGTGCAAAAACCTTAAACGACGATCATTTTAAAACGAAGAGAGTAATAAAGACTTCCTTAAAGCTAGCAAATAAACTTTGAGAATCACTAGCTACTAGATCCAAAACAACAATGGAACATAGATAATTTATAAAATCAACCATATTCAAAACATCGAATTGAATAAGAATCCTATCCAGACTGAGGTTATTTGCTAATTGCATGCTTCATCTAATGGCAAGGATTTCAATAATTGCTGGAACAACTGAGATTTTCTCCTTTCAGATGGTAGCAAAAACTATCTTTAAATCATGAACTTTAACAACACAACCATAACTCACAAAGTCGACTTCGAAACATCATGCATCAACTTGTAACACAGTCAGACCCCTAGCAATATGTTCTTCATTTCCTTTTTGAGTGTGACACACCTTCGACCTTAACATCAGACTCTAAGTGTTAAACTTCAGAAATTAAGTGTTGATTCATTGGAGGTCTCTTTCCCCCCATATATACCACCAATTCCACATATCCCTAGGGACGAGTAGTCTTCTTGTTGAATGCTTGCAGATCTAAGTTGTCATACGGTACTAGGCTCCCCATGTCTAGGTCTATTTTTTTGAACATCGATGAATATAGGATATCACAAAAACTTCCTCCATCAATCAAAATCCACGAGATGTCGAACTTCCCTATGGTGGTCGTGATTACTAAGGGAAACAATCCGTTAGAAATTCCCCCAACCTTCTCGAAGTCCTAGAACCCTATCATAGATCGGTCGAGGATTTTGGATGACGAGTTACCATCATTCATGTAGACATCCATCATCTCAGTGATTTTCCTCTTGGTCGTCCCTTTGGAAGGGAGGTTTGCCCGAGGTTCTTTGCTAGTGATGGCGGCAATATACGTGTTTTCCCTTTTTTCCGCCGTTGAGACCAGCTTCTAAAACCTTTGTAGGAGATTTGGTCTTTGGAGATTCCTCTCGATCCCGCTTACCACACTTAACATACTCGAACAACTAACATTTCTTGATTAACGCCTTGATTGTATCCTTGAGTTGGATGCAATCGTTAGTGTTGTGGCCGCGTCCTATATGGAAACGACAATACTTTTATTTTTCCTTCCAGGTACACTTTTGGATGCGATAAAAGGGACAAATCCATACTATCCTAAATACACTAGTCGCGCATTCTTGATAAATTTTATCACGTGATGTGTTCACAAGCGTGTACTTGTTGTACCGAACATACATACCTTTATTAGTATCCTCTATTTGCCTACAAAATTCCTTCCCGAATGTGCGTTCCGATCTTACATCAGCGGTTGAGGTTGAAAGGTGAGAAAAAACAAGAAATGAAGGGTTTGAATTGGGTTTTCTAACAAGCTTTTTATTTTTAAATTATTTCGCAAACTAACTAGAAAGAATAAGACTAAGAAAAGAATAAAATAACTATTTTGGTTTATACAAGTTCACCTTCAACAAGAATACTCTTATCCTCCCGCCAAGGTGATTTTGCCTTCAACAAGGACTTAATCCACTAATTTCAACACACTACAGATGCATGGGCTACCCGCTGGTGACTCACAATAACCATCTATGAGTTTAAAAAGACACCTTAGCCCTCTTAAGTCTACAGACTAACAACCTAGTCACTTGAGGCAATAATCAATTCTAGACAGAATTATAATCAACCGTGTTTACAATGTTTGCTTCTAAAAAGCAGATTAACACAACAATGAAAATGAAAGTCTCTAATAAAAATAATGAGTAACAACTCTTTGTATTGAGAACTCTAAGATAAACATAAATAATGAGCAACAATTTTTTGTGTTTAATCCCTAATATCTTAACATAATAATGAGCAACAACTCTTGTGTTATTGTTATTTCTCTAGAAGAATATTTGTGGATGGATATTTGAATAGTGATTCTTATTTTCTCTTGATGTTTTTCAGTATTTCAGCAATTTGATTCAAGCTTGATAATGTTGAGTAATTAGTTGTTCTTCAAATGCTGATGAGGTCTCTTTATATAAACTTTGAAAAATAGATTGTTGGTAGTACAAAAACATTGTTTTCACTTACCAGCTACAATAACGATAACATTTCATTATGAGAGACAAAATAGTACACTACGTAAGCATGTAGTGGAATTTGAAGCGTATTGTTTGTACTATATTCTTTGTGGCTAAGTTTCTTAGAACTTTATCTTCTAATGTTTTACTCCTGTCTTGAAGTAGTAAGCTTGGAGGATATTGTTAGACGGAGACAAAGGTATCTAGGGGGGATGAATAGATGCCCCTTTAAAAAATTATCTAAATAAAATTTGGTTTTGAAAAAGTTTTATCAAAGTGCAACGTGAAGGCTTTTTCAAATTGTCGTATATACGAACGTTATCGGGAAGCTCGAATATGCAAACCGTAAATCAAAATTGATATGGAATAAGAATGATAATATAAATTAATAACTTTGAATCACTTTGCAACTTATTTACCATTTAATCAATTTCACTTAGCAAGTCAATTTCCAATGGTAATATTAAAAGAACTAGTTAAGTCAATTTATCAAACACTTGGTGTGCAAGTGAATTTTCAGAATTTTTCCTTTGATTGTGTTGATACACAAAACCACTTATAATAAAAAGTGATTATAAGATATATCAACACTTTAATTAAAAATCAAAATTGATTAGGAAAACTCTTATAGTTCAAATGATAACACTATGCTATTTGATAAATCGAACAATGAATATCAAAGTAAGTAAAAGCAAAAATAAAAGTGACACAAGTAATTTGTCTTCACAATTCCCCATTGTCGTCCTCACGTGTGGGTATGTCTGCGCCTAATTCCAATGGAATTAGGATCATTCTTACTATACAAAAATGTCGATACAAGAGAAGTGTTCAAGAGCAACTCCACAAACCCTAAGCTTGTTGTTGATTCAACCCCTTCTATTTCCTTGATCTTGAGAGAGATCATGAACACAATAAATAAGAAATGACTATCTGGATATTGATACTCCTTTGCATTCTTTATCTCTAAAGCTTTCACGCATCGTCAATCTCAAACTATTGCAACACAGGACTTCAATTCTATCCGGTACTCCAAGTTAATTCCTTGCAAAGATTTCAAACACCCCGAGGTTCATTGAAAAGATTTTAAGCACTCAAATATTTTTCACTTTACCGCAATTACCTCTCGACTGTCTTGCACAAAAACCCCCAAATCAACCAATGATCTTGGAGGATAAACCCGCAGTTTTTCCTGGATGAAAACCCCTACAGAACTCCACCCAATATACAATTGGACACTAGCAATCCTCGTCTAGATGGTATCCCAAGGGAACATCGTTACGATGTAATGTCAGTGCGTATGCATATATTGGAGGTTGAAGATAAAGACAAAAATAAACTAATTTTATGGTTTTCAACAAGTTGGAATGATGCATGAAAGAAAATTAATAGTTTTAGATTTTTTAGGGCAAAGAGGGATAAATTAGAAATAAAATAATTTAAAAAATTTACCAACTAAAACAATATGTGTCAACCTAAGAGTCGTATGTGTTGACACATACATGGTTTTTGGACAATATGTGTCGATCAATGAAGGCACATGTGTCTACCAGAAAGTTACAGAAGCTACAGGCTTTAAAACAATAGTAAATATGTCGATCTGAAAGATGGATGTGTCGACACATAAAATAAGAATTTCTTAATTTTCAGAAATGCTTCAGTATGTGTCGACCTGAAATGATGCATGTGTCGACCTGAGACTTACAGAAGCTATAGGCTTTAAAAATGCATTACATGTGTCAGCCAAAAATATGCATGTGTCGACACATGCAGTAAAAAAATATGCAGAAAACTACTTTTAATAACTTGGATCAATTTTGAGATATTTTCTAATGATTCCTAAGACCTCTAATGCAGAGGAGTGCCATAATACATAAGGATACTATCCAATACTCAGAAGTGCAAGCTTTTCCTAGTTTTGACATCATTCAAAATATTTGACGACGGAG